GTGCTTGCCTCGTAGAGTGGGCAAGAGCTTTAACCGGGGGAAGGCACGATGTACATTTTAGGTTGGAAAACGGAAAGGGTTCCCCGGATCATCTTTGAAGGGGAAAAGAGAGTTAGGCGAGAGTCAGTCGATACCGTACGGAAGGAAACTTTATTCAGCTGGTAAGAGACGGTGAAGAGTGTTCGGATCTAGAACTCTACTTCCTAAGATGCCCTTGGACTGTGGGTGCGTAATAGGCCGACTTCAGGGAAGCCATAGGGACGATGCTTTCTTGTCAGGGGAGCTCTAATTATCTGCGTGGCCAATGACTTCCCGTTATTGCGTTGCAGAGTTGTAATTCGCAGCAAGAGGATAAAGAGGACTGTGTATCTGGCTTGGCCTCACATCATGATTGAACCTATTCAAAGCATCATTCCCTATCATCTTCCTTGCGAGATGGGGAAGCAATATCGAATATTCCCTGCTAGCCACATGCTGGGCAGCTGGGCAGACACCCCAAGATAGAAAAGAGCTCACCGTCAGTGGCCGGATTGCTCTATAATTGCATCGGTAGTGCAGCGGCATGCAGCTGTAGCGCATCTCGGTAGCACGATGCCATCACATTGGAGCTTTTAATAGTGTCTTTTTTTGCGGGTTGTCCTTGTGATGGTATTCAAGAATAGTTCCTCAAAGCCCCATCGTTGTACAACCAGCGAATCCTGTGTCACCAAAATCCAGCCACCGCAGCTCTCCCGTGAGGTGTGGTGTACGGAGGAAGGAGCGGTGGTCGCCTCACCTGGCGGTCGGCGACTTCCCTCAGCACCGTTAAGCGCCCAGCAACATGGGCCCGGCCGAAACGGGTCTGGCGCCCGTGTTCCAAAATTACATTCAGCCAACCACCGGCTGCCGTTGCGTCTCCCGTCACCTTCCCATCTGTCCACTTTGAGATCCGTTCCCCTAGGCGGGCGGCAAGAAGGAGGCAGGTGGTGGCCAATTTGACCGTCAATCTGAGTTTCTGTGGTGCCCGACACAATGTCGCTGAGAGAATTGGACAACGACCTGCCGACCGCAAATCATCATTCGTGCATACTGCTCCGTAGTCGTACAGCTGGCTGCCTTAGCTACCGAAGGTACCTTGCCATGCCATGCCATGCTATCCGAATGGCCCATCAGCGGAGAACCAGACGACAGGCCATCCATCCAGCATGGGGGAATGGGGGGGATTGGATGCGGATATGAGGACCTCGACTCGTCATCCTCGTTTGGCTGTTTTTCCTTTCTTCCCTTTGTTTTCCCATTCCCTCCATGATCCATCCACATTCCATCCTCCCAGCAGTCTGGTAACCTACTGCCATTTTCGGCCTCAATGTCGTTGGTTCCAACAAACTTTCCAACAAGACAAAGCTAAGCGCAACCGCCATACCCAACTCTTATTTGACAGACGCCAATCTGTACCGATCAGAAGAAACGACCCTTGTTCATCGCATTCACTGTGTAGCGTAGCGTAATAGCGCATATCCACACTTTGCATTCGAGCCGCATTGTCAAAGGGGAACAACACAGGCACGCCGCACACAAGAGAAGGGAAAAACGGCCCCTCCCCTGTTGCAACCGAAACGTCAGAATAGCCTCGGGGCCCCTCGTCAAAGCGCCTCTAACAGAAGTCGTCTCAACTCCGCCCACCACCTGTCGCACCTGGCCCTGCCGTCTGATCAGTCTCGCCTCTCGGATCGGACTGATACAGCTCCCTCCAACTGCGAAACCCCTCCAACGTCTGATCTACCGAATCGTCCAGTCCACCATCGTCAACCCCCTTGTCCCGTCCTCGACAGTCGACAGTTCGCCCCCGCCGCCACCAAATCGCACTTTTTTCATAATTCACATCGCTGCGCGGGACGAACACTAACACTGACACCCTGTTCAACGGTTATTGACGAGGTTTCATGGACACCTGACATCCGAAAGATTAGTCCCGACATCATCACCCACCCCTCCATCCAATCCTGCACCAAACCGCACCATCGTCAAGCCCCCTCCGCCACTTTTCGTTGCCGGATCCAAGTCTATCCATCCGACAGCACCAGGCTCCCCCGTTCATCCCGGGCATTTCTTTTTGCCAAAGAACCGATTCCCGCCCTGTGCAATCCCGGTCAGTCGAACCTCACGCGGTGCCAAGTCCACAGACGCCATCGCTCCAACTTCGACTGCCGTCCCGACTCGCCTCATCTCTTTATGACTTTCCCCCCACCCGCCGAAAGCTTCGTCTCGTCTTCCTTCACCTCTTCTCCTTCACCCTCATTTCTCTCTTCTTCTTCGTTGTTTCTCGCCTAGGTCGAAGAGTCAAGAGTCAATTCCCGAGCCCTTGCGACCAACGAGATTCCTTCCTTTCCTTCGCTGCTGGCTCAGATCATTCTTTTTAACTATTCCAACTTTGCTTGGCTGGAGTCTTTTATTTTCGCTTCTTTTGCTCGTCGACTGCACCACTTTAGGTATTATAAGAGACGTTTTAATACGGGGACTGAGACGTAAAGAGATTGGAAACACCAGACTTCGGCATCGACACGAACGTGGTTATTGGATTTGTTGGGATTATTTGCTTCACCATCGCCCGACGCCCACACGAGCGCTACCGATACCCTCGAGGCCCGACCCCAACCGCCAACTCGTCGGTACTGTCGCAGGTCGACACCCTAATACAGCTACGAATAGGAGGGCAATCGAAATCGAATCAAAATGGCGGGCGACCTGACCTTCGGGGTTCTGGTCAAGAAGCAGTTCACTGCTCAGAAGTTGGCCTTCCACTTCCTCTTCTGGACCTTTCACTTTGGCATTTTCGCCTATGGATGGTAAGCCTCCATTCACACAACGCGTTTGCTCACAACTCGACTCCAACTAACCCTTTCTAGGTGGAAGCAGGCAATGGACGCAAGGCTGGCTGGTCTGAACACTTTGCAGTACTCGGTCTGGATTTCAAGAGGTGCTGGTTTGGTTCTGAGTGTCGATGGAATGCTTATCCTACTTCCGGTCTGCCGAACGGTCATGCGATGGATTCGACCTAAGCTTCGCTTCCTCCCTCTCGACGAGAACCTCTGGCTGCACAGGCAACTGGCGTACTCCATGCTCGGTTTCACCATTTTGCACACCTCTGCTCATTACATCAAGTAGGTTTAAACCAATGCGGTACAGTACCCATTTTCTAACATGTGCGCAGCTTCTTCAACGTTGAGAGAACACAGATTCGTCCCGTCACGGCTATCCAGATTCACTACGCCCAGGCAGGTGGTGTTACCGGCCATGTCATGCTGCTGTGCATGCTTCTGATGTACACCACTGCACACGCTCGTATTCGCCAGCAATCATTCGAGACGTTCTGGTACACTCACCACCTCTTCATTCCCTTTTTCTTGGGACTGTACACCCACACCACTGGCTGCTTTGTGCGCGATACCGCCTTGCCGTACTCTCCGTTTGCCGGAAAGGATTACTGGGACCACTGCATCGGATACCTTGGCTGGAGATGGGAGCTCTGGACTGGGGCTTTCTACCTCATGGAGCGTACCTACCGTGAGGTCCGCGCTCGCCGCCGTACCAAGATCACTCGTGTTGTTCGCCACCCATACGGTCAGTCTCCGCTGTGCCATTCATACTACTCGTGATACTAACTGGGTTCCAGACGTCGTTGAGCTGCAGTTCAACAAGCCCTCGTTCAAGTACAAGGCTGGCCAGTGGCTCTTCCTCCAAGTGCCTTCTCTCTCCAACTACCAATGGCACCCCTTCACCATTACCTCTTGCCCGTTCGATCCTTATGTCTCGGTCCACGTTCGCCAGGTCGGTGACTTCACTCGGGCTCTTGGTGACGCTGTTGGAGCTGGTTCCGCTCAGGCCAAGCTTTACGATGGTGTCGATCCCATGGGAATGTACGAGGTTGCTCTTCAGAACGGCCAGCAGATGCCGGATCTCCGCATCGATGGCCCGTACGGTGCCCCCGCCGAAGACGTTTTCGAGAACGAAATCGCTGTGCTCATCGGCACTGGTATTGGCGTTACTCCCTGGGCCTCCATTCTCAAGAACATCTGGCACTTGCGCAACAGCCCGAACCCGCCAACCCGTCTTCGCCGTGTCGAGTTCATCTGGGTCTGTAAGGACACTGGCTCATTCGAATGGTTCCAAACTCTTCTATCGTCACTTGAAGAGCAGTCCAACGAGGCAGCTCGCGTTCCAGGCAGCTCCGGTGTTGAGTTCTTGAAGATTCACACCTATCTTACTCAGAAGCTGGACATGGATACCACCCAGAACATTGTGCTCAACTCGGTTGGATCAGACCACGACCCTCTGACTGAGCTCAAGTCCCGTACGAACTTTGGTCGACCCAACTTCTCCAAGCTTTTCACAACCATGCGCGATGGTATTCTGGACAGAACATACCTCAACGGCTTGGAAGGTAGCATGCGCACGACTGTCGGTGTCTACTTCTGCGGTCCCTCAGTAGCTGGTAAGCATCATATCCTCATCTGTCTCAATTTTCTTACTAACGAACCATGTAGCTCGCGATATCAAGCAGGCTTGCAAGGATGCCGATGTCCGCGAAGTCAACTTCCGATTCTGGAAAGAGCACTTCTAAGCGTGGAGATGGCTGAGATAACGAGAAGTAAAAGTAAAAAAACGAGGAGCCTTGGCGAAAGCCTCGAGTTCTGTACGTGGAGGAGAGTCTCATACCAGGAGACGACGACATCTACAGCTACCAGGAGCTTCTCAGCAGTGGGACCGCGGGAAGCAGCGCTCCGAGAGGAGAGCTGGCTGAATAACGGCAAAGCGGAAAGGCGTTGGCTGGAATGCATTAAGAAACCCGCTCAGCGATGTGCATCATCTCACCACTTTTTGCCGCCATCCGCGCCCTCACCTTCTTATTTCTTGACGATGGGCGGGGGTGGCAGGCGGTCAATGTTCTCTCATATATATACAAAGTCCATATATCACATTTTTTGAGCTATGACAACTTGTTCTATTTTCCAGGTTTCAAATATTTTATCATGATCTAAGTAGAAGGGAAAAGTGTTCATGTGGCCTTGAGTAAGTTAGATAGGATAAGTGACAACGTTTTCATTCGATCTTGCACAGCCACTGCCACCGACTGGTGCGAACCGCTGTCATGAGATGACGTGAACGCCGTTGGAAAGAAAAGGGTGCGATGACTGAGCGGTGACAATGTAGCATGGGGCACACTCGCAAGGGACGAGGATATGGAGAGCATTAAATAGCAGGGAAGAGCTGGGACGGGGTGTTCCATTCCTGCGAAGCTTCCCACCGGAGTGCGTCCGGTCCACGACTCGCCCCAGCATTCACGGCGCCGGCTAAGCCGTACGCCGTCTTGTTGTTGTTGAGTGAGAGTCTGGACTCGAGAAGTCTTCCAGCTTGGCTAAGGCCGCTCGTTGAATCGTGTGTTGATGCATGAGCCTAATGGTGGTCTATGTAATCAAGGGAACTTGGGTTGCCTCTCTGACGATCAAGTGGAGATTGGCAAAAGGTTAGGGGACTCGACCAAGGGGGAGGGACGCTTGGGAGGGACGGAGGGACGGCAGCTTACCTTTTCCTGTAATGTGGTAGGTGTGGTACGTGCAGGGCTTGGTGTGTACGGTTGTGGTTGCATTTCAAACCGTTGATGTTTTGAATTTTTTTCTCCCTTTTGGATTGGTCGTGAGTGGTTGCGTGGCTTTGAATGTGGGACTAACCGACTGGCTGATGATAAGACCGGCTTGTTATCGGTTATAGTGTGTATCTTACTGTGTAAGCTACCTTATGTGTGTGTGATTATGGTGTGATATCGCAAGAGATTCGAATGATTGGGCTGCTGTGTTAATCTTGGGATAGATGGGAGTTACTTCGTTTGTACTTGGGATGTCTCCTCAGCTTTGTTCATATATGTGGTATCCCCCATGAGGTCCCTTGCGTTGTAGTGAGCTCCTAGTATAGCGGCAATAGGGGGTTCATGAGAAGGTTTGGGAAATCTGGGGACGGCGGATATGACGGGTTGAGATAGGATGTGACGGCACCTATTTAAATTGGCGTTGATGTATTTTGCTGACTGGCGCTTAATCATGGGCCGGGGGGGTCACTGCCAGGAGGAAGTCGACTATCCGAGTGAGTTGCGTGGAAGGTTAGGTGGAGAGACTTATCTCCGAGTTAAGGCAGGCAAGTAGGAAAGGTAGTGAAAGATGAGATGGCTCAGATGATAAATGTTGGTGCCGCGAATCGTTCGGGAGGACACGGTGGGGCGAGCGGACGGACGAAGGGAAGGACCGGGTGAAAGTGATGGTTAAACGGATGGTGTCCGGGCCAGGTGGAGTTCGGACGGGTCCCGTGTCTCTAGCCGTGTCTCTTACTTGTTGCTTTTCACTTCTGGTTTTTCCTAGGTTATTTTCTTCCATTGCCATTCTGTTGAGTAGTCAACATCTCTCGAGTGAGAAGTTTCAGGGTAAATGTATGGCCTTTGGAGTTCGCTCTCGAGAGATGCGGGTGGTTTCTATCATCCCATCGGCATAGAGGAGGCAGCTGGGCTCGTGCTGGTGCTCGTGCTCTCGAGATGTCTTTTTGGGATGGATGAATTTAGATCATGTAACCGTGCGAGCATGGTAACAAAATCTATTGCGGTTAATGGGGCGGGAAAAATTCGTCCCAACATCGTGAGCATTTCTGCGAAACAGCTTACGTGGTTGCGTAAGTTGGTATTTTTAGCCATTCCTTCTCTTCTTTTCGGGTGGTCTGGTCTGCGTCGATGAGGGAGGTTAATTTGCCCCGATGATGAGATGAAGGCTCTTGTTAAAATTTGGTAAGGAACGTAGAATGACACTATTTGCTTTTTGCGGGAGGTTGGTGTCATGTATGACATACAGACGACGCTTAGGGAGTGATATTATCACCCCTCCTGACTGTGATGATAGTAAGTTCTACTGGATGCGATGGGGTTGTGTATGCAAATGCGAGGGTGTAGAGATGGTGGCAACCATGCTGAGCGACTATTAGGGAATTTCATATGAAGCTAAGGTTAGTTCACGAGAATGAGATACTTTCTGGAAGATGATAGGCTTCCTTTGAGGAAGAAGGTAGTCTTGATGTTACGTATCCTTGGTCAAAAGCGGTGATTCCAGTTGACTTATTGAATCCTGACGATGGATTTCAAAGCGTGAATCGTACAGGTCCTTGATTCCTAGACACCAGACTTTACCATGTGGATGAGGGGTGGGGTTCGTTGGAGCGGATATTCCGTAGATCTCGACGAGGCTTCTTCTTTCGTGAAACTCACATATCGATTGCCTCAGTGCGCAAGGGTCGACGGCAATGATACGGCTTGAATCAAGGTGTTTCGTCTCTTCAAGAACATTCCAATGAGGGGATAAGAACAAAGTGATTGAAAGGCTCGCTGCTGAAGATTCTTCAAAGTCATGAAGATTCTTCAAAGTCATAGAGAGTCTTCTTCCTGATGACGCTCCTACCCTCAACTTTGGGCTCATACGTTTTCTGGTTGCCTTCAGAGTGTAAAGTCGGAATGGAGTAAGGCAACTGAGCTCAAGGGGTCCTGCTACCTTGAAAGTATCCCTCGTTTGCGAAATCAGACCAAAGCCATCAATAGGATTGAATCCTTACAGTCTCAAGACAGTCACATGGCGGCTTCCTTCTGCTATGTCCTGTCGTTCAAGCCAGACTCCAACCTTTCTGACCTACCTCGACACGCAAGTCCGGAAGAGTCATGCAAACTCAGCCAAGGTCAAAAAGAGCGTTCCGACTTTTGAAACGGACTCTGGAATGGGGTAAAGTGAGAACAAGGAACAGCGATGGGATGAGTAACAAGTGTCCTCGAGAGTGCCCAAAGAGGCAGTGATGGAGAGGCCCATGTTGGTCATGCTAAACTCCCGAAACGGGGACGGCGGGAGCAGCGTATGCTGATGAACGTCGTGCGAATGGGAAAAGTGGACAAGATCGAGTATGTACAGGTCTTTGTCTCTCTTTGCATCGTTCCCCTCGCTCTCGCGCGTATTGGTGACGTCGATGTGCGAGATGGAGACAGGAGTTGGTGAACAGGTTGATGTCTGCTGCCCTTGAATTGGTTGAATGGTTGAGGCTGAGAGGTAAGATATAGGAGCCGAACAAAGCCAGTCGCAAGCGGAAGGAAGTCACCCAAGGCAAGTGAGATTAATGCTCGGAACCATCTGGTGGTGCAGCCAGGCTGAAACCTCCATGTATGAAGATTGACATAAGCCTACTTATAGTAATCAATGACATATCTTTATCCTGCAGACTAGATAAAGCATTGCAATAGGAAGATTTGTTTTAAAACTGTTTCGTTGCGATAAGTCGAATTGAACTGAGCAGAACATATCGGAGCGGCGAAGTACAGCCTCGATGGGCACGAAGTAGCTCAACCACAGGCTTCTGTCAGAGGTCCCGATGCAAACCAGCAGGCACTGAAACAACCTTGACACCATCGATTAAAGTCCAAATGTCAATTGAAAGCCCATGCTACGTACCCTTGTTTGGTTCGTGCATGTACGTGACGAATACGGTCGAGCCGAAGCTAGGTGAAGCAAATAAGGTCGCTAATGCACTTGGTTAAGCTCTTGTTAGGTCGTGATTGTTCATAGAAAGTATGTTCGAGCCTACTAGTCACCTTTCACAACTCCCGTCGCAGTGCACGTATGAAACTGTGGTCTGAGGCTACGCCTATGGCTAAGGAAGCATGAGAGGGTGAGGAGATGAATATGTTATAAGACGAAGGGGCGGTCGTCTTAGCTAGCAACATAAAGAATTGCGATATATTTATTGTGGCTAGAAGCGTTTCTAAGTCCAGGCAGTACATTCGAGTCAAAATGAGGTGAAGCGATCAAGGTAATCAGCATCCTTCACCAGCTTTGGCCATTGCCCCTTATTAAAGTCGTGCTTGCCAGTGACGAATACGTTCGAGCCAAAGCGTGGCAAAGCGAACGAGATGATGAGTGTTTTTAGGCAGCTTTGATAACTGAAAGAGACGCTCGAGGTTGGCACCTTTGTCCCCTGGTCTCTTGCCCTTGATGAACTCTGCTACCGAGACTGGCTCTGATTTGCAACCATTGCAAGTGGTCGCATGGGTTCCTGTCTTTCTCATCTGTCTTTCAAGTGAATTGAACGCGTTTTATAGGTTGGGAAATGATTACTAGCAGCCATCTCATGAGTGGCAGATACTCGCTAGTCTCATCCCCTCACTAGAGACATTGGATGCCCTCCATCCAGCCGCTCATCTAAAGCTTCCTCGCAAGACACCTCAACCTCACATAACTAATCATCTCCCCATCCCCCGGAATCCTACAAACATGCCTCAACACCTCCACAATCTCCCTAACAGCCTCCTCCCTCTGGCCCCCCTCCTCCGGCACCGCATCCAACAGCTCCTTCCCCATCAGCCTCACCCACCCCTCCACGCCGCCCTTATCCGCTGTCGTAGGCCTCCACTCCCGCTCGACTTTCAACACCTCCCACCCGCCGACCTCTTTCTCGAGCACCGTCTTCAACCACTCTTCGTCCGGGAAAAACCAGGGGTCCACGGCGACGGCCTTCTCCATGCCCACGCGCCGCGCGACGGCCATGACGATGGCGGTGCGCATCTCGGCTACGTTGCCCAGCCCGCCCATTTCGAGGGCGAAGGTGCCGCCCGGGAGGAGAGCGTCGCGGATGGCGGTGAAGACGGGTATGTGGGAGCCCGGGGGCCGAAGGATCCAGTGGAGAGCTGCGTTGGAGAAGGCTTTTGTGAAGGTTGGGGTGTGGAGGGTTGGTGTTGAGGAGGTTGTGATTTTTGTTGCGTCGAGGACTGTGTGGGTAGTTTGTTAGTCAACGTTCGAGTTGCTCCAGTATGTCTGGGTAGTATGATGAAGAGAGGAGAGAGTAAGTAGAGCTGTACCTTCGAATTCGCAGTTTGAGAGGCCTGCTGCTGAGACGGCCTTTTTGGCGGCGGAGATCATGCCTGGGGAGGCGTCGATGCCGTGGAGGGAGCCTTTCCCTTGGGAGAGGACCTTGCCGAACTCAACATCGAGGATGCCGTCTACTTGATTGTCAGTCTGGAGTTTCGTGCTGCAGTCAAGTTCATCATCGAGAGGAACGATGAAATGGGTCGATGTCAGAGACTCACCACCGCAGCCGACGTCGAGGATGACATCGTCCTTTTGCACGTGCAGCCACTGGACCACCTTCGTCGCCAGCTTGGGGACGAAGGAGGCGGAGTGCTGGTAGGCCTGGATGTTTGTGTCAGTCTCGGATCCACCCTTGAGGGCGGTTGTGAGCAGGTAAGGCTTACCTCGGATGACCACTTATCCTCTTTTTGTTCGGCCATGTTTTGTGATTTGAAAGATTGACCTGAATGAGCTCGTGAGAAGTATGTAGACTATACAATGGAATTAATATCTACGAGAGTGAGTAACGCTGGTTTATATAACTTTTGATGTCCCTGTCGACTTACACGCAATCTGAAGTTTAAGTGGGATGAGTGAAGTTGGGAGGATGCGATGACTGTCCGAGATCGGACCTGCTCGACGGCCGCACGCTGCCCCGCATCCCTCCTCCGACTGAGGTAACTCCCACGGCACAGGGGATCCGACGTCCAACATTGCAGCTCACAGGCATGACTTATATCCGGAATCCAATTTGGAGGCTTATGACTGGATTCTATCCAATGATTTGATTTACATTACACGCCGGTCGCGAAACCGGCGCAGAACAATGACTTGTTCATACTGTCTTCAGTTGACTCGAATCATGAGCTACGACAATCTTTGTCTGCCTTTTCACATTGAATCCACTCCCAAATCACCTTAGTCAATGTCCAACAGCTTGTACTTTTCATCGCCCAAAGCATCCTCCACCCTCTGCATGATTGACAGAACCTTCTCCTCCTCAAGCCTCCTCCCCACGACCTGGACGCCGACGGGCAGGCCATGCATTTCCTTGGCATCGTACAGCTTATACGCACCGTACGCCACGCCGTTGAGCTTCTTAATGTTGAAGTCCGCGGGAAGCTGGTCCAGGTCCTTGTCCACGTGTGTCACGGGGAGGACACCGGCCGTGTAGTCGAGCTAGATAGTTGATTAGCCATTCACAGTTTCTCAGAAGAAGACAATGAAAGAAGAACATAAACTCACCAGGTTGAAGAGGAACGTGTACCCGCAGCTACTACACGCATCCTTCATCCCGTCATGCGGCACAGCAGGCGTAGCATTAGGCGGCGTGATCAAAAAGTCCACCTCCGCCTTGTTCCACCACTCAAACCACTGATTCCGGTACGCCTCGCGCCGCGCGACGAGCTTCCAGTTCTCAAACGCCGACTGCGGTCGCCAGTCCCGGACGAGGCCTGCCCAGATGTCGTCGCGGCGGACGTACTTCACCCAGAGGTAGTAGAAATACCGCAAGGGACTGGCGAGGTTCATCAGGAACTTCATCTGCGCGGCGCCCGGGTCGTTCCACTCCCCCGTGCGGAAGAAGGTGCTGAACATCTGGCATCCGTCGGCATTCAAAGCCAGAGCGGCGATCTTGAGACCCTCATATGGCGAGGGCGGGCTGATCTCGACGATCTCGTGGCCCTCCTTGCGCAGCGCGTTCTCCACCATCTCCAGCGCGCGCCGGCACGCCGGGCTGGGGTCCACGACACCGTCGGTGCGCATCACGCCGACGCGGAGCTTCTTCTTGTCGTCCAGCCACGTCTTCTCGGTCTCGGAACGCCACGCCAGCGGGTGGACGCTGTAGTCGTACTCCCACGGCTTCATCCCCACCACGGCCCGCGTGAAATACCGTAGGTCGTCGAGCGTCCTCGTCATGGGGCTGTACACGGACGGCACGCCCTCCTGGCCCGGCATGCTCGTGCAGAAGCCCAGCTTCGGCCACCGGCCCGTGGAGCAACGGAGGCTGTAGCACCCCGAGAAATGCGCCGGCGCCCGCACGCTGCCCGCGACGTCGCTGCCAATGCCGATGCGCCCGCCCATGGCGAGGAGAGCGGACTCGCCTCCTGTGGAGCCACCGGGGGAGTAGCGGCTGTTGTGCGGGTTCGTGCAGCGGCCCCATACGTCGTTTGTGGACTCGAAGCTCAGGAGGGTGATGGGCAGGTTAGTCTTCACGTAGGGGACGGCGCCGGCGTCCTTGAGGAGGCGGACGACGGGCCCGTCGGCGGCCGTTTTGTTGCCCACGAAGCTGCTGAAGCCGACGGTGGTGTCGTAGCCGCCGACGACGATTGTGTCTTTGAGGCTGACGGGGATGCCGGCTAGCGGGCCCTTGAGGTTGACGGAGCCGTCGGCCACCCACTTCTCGGCGGACTCGAGCATGACCTCGGTGAGGCAGTTTGTGCGTTCGTGGGCCTTGAGGGCTACTTTACCGTAGGTTTTGAGGATGTCAATGGGCTGGAGGACGGTCTTGTGGACATCTTGGACGAGTTCCTCGATGGGCTTGTCCAGGATCTGGCGGTCTTGTTGTGAAAAGGGACCTTTGTAGGCCGTGAGGCGGCGGATTCTGTCCGCGCGTTCGGATTGCTTGAAGTTGCTGTTTTCTTAGTGTTAGTGAACCTCGGGGTTTTGGCGGTTATAGGCACGGGTGGGATGGCAGACCAGTCACGACGGTGTTGGAGATAGTCGAATGGGTAGACCATCTTGTATGTGGAGGATACTAAGTACTAGGTATATGTTGACCGGGTGTTGCTATGGCTATGAGATAAGGGTGAAGCTGTACTTGGCTCTATGAAAACTCACTATGTCGGGTGAGAAGAGTGTGAAGGTTTATTGTAAGATGATGGGTGCAAGATGGGAGCTTAGGACTGACTTATCAAGGGAGAGGAGAGAGAGAGAAAAGACCGGCGTTGGGGTCAAGGTACTTACACGCTCGGTCACGGGTAGCCGGCGGAGTCGCGGGGAAGCCCCGCTCCCCTTATCGGCCGCTGGGGTAAAAGGGCGTAAGGCGCGCTGTACAGACTCTAGAGCCTGCTAAGGATAGGGCACCTCAAGGTGAGGAGAGGTACCTCACCTGCCACCTTATCTTTGGCCCGCTGATATCCGCCTGAAACTTCCCTGCTGGGCAAGTAAATGCGTCGGTGAGCCGGTGGACAGTGGACCCCAACCAACAACTCCAGGACCTCCCCGCATGCTGGGTCCAAGGTGAGCCGAGATGCGGTCTAGCTCTGGTTGCATGTTTCATTATCAAATCGATTCCTTCTGCTCGGGTTAGTGGTATCAAGAGGTCTATGTGTCCTCTACTATTTCTGCAGGTACGCAAAGGAGAGGCGATGCTTGTGGCGTACCCCAGGTTGACGCCATGACTGTCATGTCACTTAGGCACGCGTGCCTGACATTCGTGGCATGGGCTAGGTTGAGTGTAAGATGAATTCATCTCAGGTACGAAAGAAGAACTTTTCATGATCAATTTTGTTCCCGAATGCCCAAATGCCGCTGCTAAATGTGTACTTCTGCTAACCCCAAGACCGCCGCTTTACAAAACCGGTCTTCTCTCGTTCCTGTAGTGATCCGCAATCAAAAACGCCAACTCGAGCGCCTGCTTCTCATTGAGTCTCGGGTCGCAGAAACTCGTGTAGTTGGTCGACAAATCATCCTCGTCCAACCCCTCGCTACCACCCAGACACTCCGTCACAGCATCGCCAGTGAGCTCGAGGTGGACGCCGCCCAGGTAACTCTTCTGCTCCTTGTGGATGCGCAGCGTCTCCTGCAGCTCCTCAAAGATGTCGCGGAAGCGCCGCGTCTTGATGCCGCCGCCCGTCGAAACCGTGTTGCCGTGCATCGGGTCGCACTGCCAGACCACGCAGCGGTGGTACTCGCTGTCCTCGACGGCGCGGATGTGCGCCGGCAGCAGCGAGCGCACCTTGGAGGCGCCGTACCGCGTGATGAGGGTGATCTTGCCGGGCTCCTTATCCGGGTTGAGGGCGCGCAGCAGGGCGAGGAGGTCGTCCACGGGCGTGGTGGGTCCGACTTTGATGCCGATGGGGTTGGCGATGCCGCGGAAGAACTCCACGTGGGCGCCATCGATCTGCCGGGTGCGGTCGCCGATCCAGAGGAAATGGGCCGAGGTGTCGTAGTACTCCTTCTTGGTCTCGATGGGGCCGCTGCCGCTGTCGTTCCGGGGGGCGTTGCCGTTTGCTGTGGGACGCGGGACGGGCGTCTCCAGAAGGCGGGTCAGCGGCTGCTCGTACTCGAGGAGGAGGCCCTCGTGGCTGGTGAAGAGGTCGACCGTGTCCAGCTTATCGCTTCGGTCGGCGCCGATGGTGTGGAGGAAGCGGAGCATGTCTGTGAGGGATAGGACGGCCTCGGAGTATTTCCTTTTGAGCTCCGGGTCCCGGACGTGGCCCAGGCCCCAGTCCAGCGGCTTATGGAGATCGGCGATGCCTGATGAGAGGCATGCTCTGATGTAGTTAAGGGTTGCCGAAGAATACTGGTAAGCCCTTTGGTGCTGGTTAGCTCTTGTGGTAACACATGGCTTTGTCTTCATTGCATGACTCACTTTACGAGCCTCTGCGGGTCAATTTCACGCTCATCAACGTGGAAGCCGTTGAGAATGTCTCCCCGGAATGAAGGCATCTCCACACCGTCAACCATTTCTATAGGGCTCGATCTGGGCTTGGCATACTGGCCAGCCATACGGCCAATGCGCACCACGCGCTTGTCGGCACCCCAGACGAGAACCAGACTCATCTGCAGCAGCAGCTTAATCTTTGACTCGATTGCATTGGGCTCGCAGTAGTCGAACAGCTCGGCGCAGTCACCACCCTGGAGCAGGAAAGCCTCGCCGAGTGCTACATCACGCAGGTGCTGCTTGAGTGCGACAATCTCCTTTGGGTGGACAATTGGAGGTAGCCGTCCCAATTCTTTGACGGACTTTTTCAAGCCGGCTTCGTCTGGATAGGCGGGAGCTTGCTTGATGGGTTTTGAGCGCCAGGAGTCGGGCGACCATTCTGCGGAGGAAGACATGGTGTGATGTGTTGTGTTGGTGACTGTGTTGGTGACTCAGGATGGAGCTGTGGACAGTCGAGTGGTGCCGGGCTGGTTTGTCGCCAGAACTGACGTAGAGGGAAGCTGGAGAAATAGTAGGTAGGTCAACTTGAAGCAGAATCAGCAACGGCTTTCAAAATGATTCAACTTAAAAGTCATGACAAGAGGGTAAGAGACCTGGTATATGTACCTTGGTGAGTCAACAGCAGACTGGATGACTGGTTCAAAGGCGCATGGAACAGTAAGTGATCGAATCTGGATACTCCGCTGTACCTACCTTACTAGGAAGTGAATTGGACCGGTGAGTGGGATGAATGTGAGCAGAAAAACCCTTAATAACGGGCAAGGGCCTGTTCACCTGCAACGGTGTGCTTGCTTTGCTCGAAATTGACCAATGGAAACGACAGTGACGGAACCGAAGAGAGCAAAGCAAATTCAGGAACCAGACCATCCGTCAAACCCTGCGTGTTTGTGTGTCGAGTTTGTGGTGTGCGTCGCCGTCTGGTGCTAAACCTGAGAAATAAAGTTGTACATTGTCCTCCTCCAGGGCAACGCTATGCCGAGGCGTACCGACCTACCTCGAACGCTCACCATCGGTGTAAGCGGCACGCCGCACACCTCCCCTCACCTGCGGAAAGGGCAGGTAAGGTAAGGTACGTACCGCAAAGAAGCTCCCCCTCCCCGCCCCCACCTAAACCTGCCCCACCACAAATTCGATTCCAATGGGAAAGAGCTGTCTCTGCGCCGCCGCGTGGTGCCCGACTGTCCACACAACATCACAGCTCTTCAACCACACGAACATAGTTCCGCCTCTCGAACCCTGACCAAAAGACCCCCGAACCGACCGACCTGCGATTGCCGATTCCTTTCGTACGCAATGTCTGAGAAGCAGCCCCCCACCGTCGTCGAGGGCGCCACCGCCGGTGATGTCGAGGAGGAGGTCCAGCCCGCAAAGTCAGCCGAGGACCGCAAGGCGGCGTCCGCCCTCGCCAGTCTCGATGCCGGCGGCGACGATTCGGGAAGCGGCCAGGTTGATGTCGACGCTGCGCAGAAGGCGATTAAGGGTCTCGGTGGCGCCACCGCCGCCAAGAAGGAGGTGAAGAACGTTAAGGTCGATGCCGCCGATGTTGCCCTGCTGGTTAGTCAACCTACCCACCTGATACGCACGAAGGAAGACGGTCAAGAGATGGGAACTCGGATGAGGAGAAGAGATTGAGACGCGAAGAAAGCTGAGAATCAGATAAAGGAACACAAGCTGACAAGGACACAGGTTGACGAATTGGAGCTCACCAAGCCCAAGGCGACGGAGCTGCTCAAGGCCAACGACGGAGACGCGGTCAAGGCGATGAAGGCGTACCTACGCTCATGAACGGGTCGGTATGATCGACGGCTGGCATGGTTATAGACTTCGGAGTAAAAGTTTTAGGTTATGTTTGTTGAGGCCCAGGATTACACATGTTATTCAATGGTTCGTCTCTCTGTCCGCTTTTCGGCACAGTTCCTTACCACGGCAAGGCTAACTTTTATGGCCTTCAGATCAGATGACCAAAGTCTCGAGCTTCAAATAGAATCGGACGCCCTTCTTCCCAAGTGGACTGCAGTGGGCGTCACTCGTTTCTACCAAGACCGCGTGCTCAGCGTGATTCGACTTGAACCAAACTCCGCCCTTGACAGCTTTAACACTTCAACGAACGCCGACTTCTTACTGTCACTGACATTGACACAAAGCTGATCTATGAACACCATTCACATTGACTCACTGATGACGCAAAATCTAGTCTCCCCTCGTCCTGGGCATGATATCCTCCATCTTGACGCACTTCGGCTCCCACAAATCCGTCTCATCGCCCATCCATATCGGACTCCGCCCCGGCATCCCACGCCCAGGCGGCCCAGTATGGTTCCCACCATACCCAGGTCCCCGACCCCGATACGGCGGCGGCGGCCGACCATACCCAGGCTCCGTCCCGTTCCCCGGTCCACCCTCCGGCGGCGGCCTCGGTCTCCTACCACCCCACATGGACCTCAACAACGGCCACATGGGGATATAGCACCGCTCATCCCACCCGCACACCTCCCGACATCGGATGAACTCACCTTCCCAACCGACCCACGCCCGGAGTCGCCTCACCCCATCTGCCCACCTCTCGCTAGCAGCCTTCAGCTCCGACGTCTCCCCTCGCTCGAGATCATACCACGCCCTCTCGACACCGAACCCGACCTCGAGCAAGACGCCGCAGATCCCGCCCATGACTTCCTCCACCGCGTCCCTCAGATCCTGCTCCCTCACGCTTAGCGGCAGATCAACCATCAACCTCGTATATCGATACCGACACCGCGAATACGTCTCCGCAAACAGCGCGCCGCGGACATCCCACGCCTGCCTCTTCATCTCGCGCGGATATTCCAGAAACGAGACGAGGAACATGTGGCTCTGCCCGCGCAACTTGTATAACCACTCCCTCACAGCCGTCACATTCCTCCAGTCGTCGCCATCGCCGCCGAACCTTGCACCCTCCTCCATGATTATCAAATGCCCAGCCGTCCGCTGCACAATCTCCCCCATGGCACCCACCCACTCCATCCCACTACAACCCCCCTCGCCCACAAGCGCATCCCGCAACATCACCTCCGTCTCCCACCTCATCCCCGCCGCCGCCTCCGCCGTCACATTCCCCAAGTGATGCATCCTCCTCCGTCTCCCAAGCTTCGTCAACGCCTCACTCCGATTACCAACACCCTCCACATCACTCCAATACCCTTCCGCAGTAAGATTCAACCGCGCCCGCTCCTCCTCCGTAACGGACCCCCAGAACCGGTCCGCGTACCAGCTCGTGATCCCGCACCCCAGCACCCGCGCCCGCGTCTCCCCTTTACCCTGCCCGAGCCCGTTGGACCCGTAATGCCACGTCGCGGAGGCGAACCATCCCCACCCCTGCGTCTGCAGGAACGGCTCCCGCTCGGAGGGACCCATGATATCGCGCCAGTTGGGCGGCATCGGCGGGCGGGAAGGGCTCACGGGGCGATCTGTCAGTGTAGGCTGCGGCGGGAGGGGGTACACCGACGTCGGAACCCCTTCTCCGCCATGCATCCTCCCACCAGCCTTCTTCATATCTCCCTTAACCTCATCCCTCTCCTCTCTCTTCTCCCCATCTTCGTCTTCCCCCCTCAACTGCGGCGCAGTAACATTCCCCCTCCCAACCAACCTCAAACTCCCACCGCCCCCAAAATCACACCAAATCATCTCAAACCCGGTATTCATCCTCACAACCCCCTCAAACCCCCAACCCGGTCCACGTAGTCCCTTCTCCAGCAACCAGTCGCAGAGCCCCATGGCCCTCTCGTACTCGGGCTCCAACCCGTGCCATGGACTTCCCCCGTTACCCCCCGGGCCGGAGACGTTGCCATATAAATGCAGCATCTGGGTGTCAAGCTGCCCGAACCCCATCAGCGCCGCGGACTCGCCGTCAAAGTAGAGCGCTTTCACGGGCCGCGTGGTTTGGTAGGTAAGCATGAAGCTCTGGCGCGTGCTGCCCATGATGCCGTAGGCCATTTCTCTGTCGTTGTCTCCGTGTCAGCCCACCAAGCTACCTATGTTACCTGTTTTCCACGAGACTCAAGTCACAATTACAAAGGCACACACCACGCATCACTGCCCAAAAACACGTAGCAATCATACAGCACCAGAATGTAGGAAACGCAGGAAGAAGTGCCGCAAAAAGACTCACATATCAAAAGCGAGCCACTCCGGACTCGGCACATCCTCCTCATCCATCCTCCCGTGATAAAACAGCGTAAACGCGGGAACCTCCACCGCCGCCATCGTGTGACCGTTGGGGAACACGGTATTGCTCCACTGCTGGAGGAGACCGTACGCCGAAGCAAACAGGTGCGGCGCCGGCGATGAGTAGTTCAGCCGAGCGTACCATGATGATGGGCCACCATCATCGCTGCCCTTGGGCGATGAAGAGCCGGGTCCGTCTTGCGACGTTGGGTATGATGATGATGATACACCCACGGGTTTCTGTACCGCGTTCGCGGCGGCAGCGGCGGCGTATTGGACAGCCAGCAGCGACGCCGTCAAGGCTCGCAGTGAGCGCATCTTTTTTCTTGGTACAATTCTATGAGCAATCACCAAAAAAGGAAAAAAAGAGAGAGAGAGAGCAAAAAAGTCTAGATTATCATCTTCGCCACAATCCAAATGGGTATCAAAGCTCAGAGTCTCATGTGTGTCGGATGGATCTTCCCTTATCAATCAATGCCTCTCTCCCCCGGGACACCGAGTCAAGTCAAGCGGCTCTCTGGGGACTTCGGGACTTTGGTTGGTCCAATCAAAAGAACGCGCGGCCAACATGCGTCACCTTGCCAGATACGGACAAGGGTCAGGGGAATTTGCATAGGTAGAATGCACAATTGCAACGGAGTATCAAACTTGACAACGGGATGGGGACTTTGTTATCTGAAAGACAAACGATCAAAAGAGTCCTTTCAAATTGTGTTCCAAAGACAATCGACGCTGCCCTCGCAGCGCAGCGTATGTTCTGATGTACAACCAATCTAATAACCTAAACACCTTATCCCAGTCCCTTGGGAATCCGTATCCCATATCCGTGTTCAACGCCGTCTAAAGCCAATCCCGTCGCATCTCGGCCGAGGCCTGAGATGACAAAAAAACCACAAACTAATCGCAAAAATAATCAACATCTAGCGCCAGGCCTTGGCCAAGGGGCTTCCAATCTTGGGCGCAAACTGCAAGCTCTTTCTGCGAGCCGCCATCAGGCGTTGCATGACGCTCTCGTCCTTATCTCTGTTGAGAATGCCTTCGCCCATCTGGACAAAGGTGTTCTGCTTGGGAGGGCAGGTCTGCATGTGCAGAGTCTTGGTGGGAGAAGAGTCATACTCAGTCATCCCAGAAGGCGTCTCTGCAGCATAACGAGCAAGAGCCTCAGGCGCAGGCGTGACAGGAACCGGAGAGATCAGGCCCTGCCAGTCATCGTCGTCGTCCTCGGCCTCGTCTGAAGGAGTGTGCATCCACACCGTGCTGTCACGTCGGTTCATCGGCGTGTTGGGCGCGGTCTTGGCATCGCGGCCAGCCTTGACGGGTGTGGGAACAAGCATGCCGTTCTGGTTAGCAAGCGCTGTGGGCTCCATGCTCTTGCGGCGGCGCGCACCTCCGCGGGGAACCATGGAGGTATCGATGTAGTAGGGCGCCTCCTCGAGCCACTCGTTCTCACGTTCACAGCTAAGTTGGTTGGTCAGCCAGATATCATTCAAAAGGACTGGAGGACACTTACTCGAGAACCCAGCTCACACCGACACACTGCACAACACCGTTTGACTCTCTGACCTTCTCCATCGTGCGCTTGCCACCATCCTTGTAGACGACATGAGTGATGCCAATCTTTGAGGCATCCGAGTTGCCAGTGGCACTTGGGTTCCAGTTCCAGGTCTTGACGCATCGGGCTCCCATCTGACCAAGAAGCTCGACAAAGATACCACTGGCGTCCGCACCCTCGGTGGTGTGCACATCCACAAAAACGACGGCGCCGCGAAGAAGACCCGGGTTGAGGTCCCGGCGAGGAGTGCGCGCTGGTGTTCCCAGACTCGACCAGACATCAGACTTGGCCGGAGTGACGGGGGCAGAGTCGAGCTCGTTGTCGTTCTGTTCATCCTCATCCTTGTGGGTCTTGCCAGGCGAGTAGGAAATGACGGTAGCACTCCTATTCAGGCTTGGACGGCTGACTGGGAGTCGGGAGATGCTGGCAGCACGCTTCTTCTTGGGGCGAGGGGTCGACTCGTCAGCAGGCTTCAGAGGAACCTTGGAGACGGTGGAGAACTCGCGCGCCAGAACACGGTTAGGAGTCACTGGCGGGACATACGCATCGCCGCCGAACATGGCGGGGTCAACAGGCATGTCGTTCTCGTCGCCGTACTCTTGGCTTGCCTCAGAGAGAGTGTCATCGAAGCTGTTGGACGTGTTGACAATCTCATCAATCTCCTCAGGCTCCATCAGAGACATCTCATTGGCCTCGGCCGCAAGGGCCATGTCTTCCTCAGTGACCATGAGGTCGTCGAACTCGGGATCTTCGGCTTCAGCGGAGGCGGAAATCTCAGCCTCAATAACAGCCTCAATTTCATTCTGGGCGTCCATATCGGCACGGACGGTCATTTCATCCTCAAAGTAAGTGCTTCGGAGGGGAGAATCCTCGGCGCGAGGAGTGGCCGCAGCCGAGCGTCCAGGAGTGACGGGACGTCTGGGTGTCTTGGAAGGGCTAGCAGCAGACCAAGCGTTGAGTTGGTCCGCCAAGGGAGTGAAGCCAACACTGGAAACCCGGGACTTGGCAATGCTTCGTCGAGAGTTCGCGGGGG